AGAATATATGCTGGTACCTATCTGCCTGGAGTGCCATCAGTCACTATTTAAAATAACTAAAAGCCTGAAGATTTGTGAGCTGGCTTACTGGAAGGGTGGAAACTGCTAAATCATTAAGGTCCCACTGAAAGGTTTTCATGTCTGCAAGAGTCTTCCCGTACTTTTTCAGCTTAAGAAGTGGCAAGACCAGATGGTTATGGTACTCCACAAGTAGCAGCCTTCAAGAGGGAAGAGCAGTTAAAACAACCTGGCCCTCTCAGTTTATTATAGACATAATGGAGGAGGCCAGTTTCAGGTCTCCCCATGCACCTTTCCAGGTCCTGTAGACCATTCAGCTCATGACCATGCTTCCACAGTCCGATTTAAGATAACAATATCATTATGGGTGTCTGACCTATCCCCATTTCCCTGAGAAAATGATAAAATAATGACTTGCCCATGTATTCATCACCGGATCTGAAGCCTTTTGCTAGGAATCTGGAGGAGATCAAATGACTCCAGAGCTGGAATGGTGTTGGCTTACTATCTTCTTCTTAGTGACCTTCCCAGAAAGCAGAGGTTAGAATCTGGGAGGTAATTGCTGAGGCCATTGATCCCCAGTGACAGGTTTTTGAGAACTGGCCAGACCATAGGACAGAATTCAAGAGCTGGTGTCTGAGTGCCCTCCCTGGGAGTTACTAACGAGTCCTACCGGTAAAGGGCTAATGGATTTCCTGCTTACACTTCTGGGTCTACTTTGTTAGTCTCCAAAGGGAGGTCTACCAGGAACGTTGTGTGTGGCTGAGACTCATGCCAGGGGACGACATGGGGCCTGGCTTTGGAGACCAATTATTAGTAGAAATAATCTGTAGTGTTTCCTCATGGAAGTAGTATTCTTCTGTCGAAGTAATAAGAGGTTTACAGGTTTGTTACTAAAGGTCAAGGGGTGACTAGAGGGGTTCCTCACCGATAGCTGTGGGGCTATGCTTTTGTGGCCACAGGTAGCCCAGTGTGACACGAGCAAAGAAGAGTGCTTGTGTCTTCTGGTGGCCAAGCAGGAGGACCATTTACTGCATACCAGGTGAATGCTCTTGCTCTCGGTGGTGGCTTCGTGTCCTCTCTCTGTACCTATCACAAGTTAGTCTGGCTTTGTCTCGGTCACTTCGGTTTGTACAGAGGAGCTTTATCATACCAGCCTGGGCAACAAGGGGTGTTTTTGGAAGCTCCACCTGGAGGCTTTGTCTTTCCAAGACAGCATCTCCTAAAAATTTCAACATTAACTTCTATTGAAACGCTGCTGTGACTTTGTTTTTATGATCTGTGCCTTTCTCACCAAATTAGCAGTTATTAATAGGACAGTTATCCACCATAAAATGTTCAGAGTTCTATTCTCTGCACTAAAAATGTCTCCTTTCACTTAAAGCTCTTTTTTTTTTTTTTTTTTGCTGGCTTAATTTCACTAACTTTATCAAAGTTTACTTTTGAGTCTGTCTTATTTATTTCTTCTGCTTTCCCTGTCTCTTGAAATGTTTGTCTTGTAAATGCACTTTAACTTGGAGAAGAGAGAGGTTTGGGTTTAAAGATATAATCTTTTCCTAAATCACCCTATTTTATCATGAGATTGGATGCATAGTCCACTAAATAAAGAGACTCACACAACATGGGTTGTATTCAGGGTTTCATGTGAATTAGCTTCACATTGTCTAGAGCAAGTAAATTGTTTTGCTTCGATTTCACAAAACGTAAAATATGGCTATGGCTGAAAATCACTGTACAAGAATTAAGTATTATTATTGGCCAAGCGTTATATCAATCTGTGATCTACAATTTCCTATGAAGGAGGAAGAGGATGTGGACTCAGTCTTTACTTTGGGTTCATTCACTTTTGTAAACTCAGGTCAGACTATCAACATCAATTTAACTTTACTTTCACAGTTCATGCTTAAAGCCATCCCCTAGCAAACATCTTGCTTTTCAGATACCTTAAGCCTACTGCAAACAAACAAATCATGGAAATTAAATAGTAATAAAGCTGTTGTTAGCTTTGTATAATAAATTTTATCCACTATTTAAATGGCAATTATTTCCAGAAACTTGGCAATTGTAGCTGTACAAATGATGAAATTGATTCCAGTCACAGCCCATCTTTCTTTGGAACGGAAATACCAGTAGTGTTTGAAAAATGGATTATTAAGAACCTGGGTTTGCTCAAGGTGGCTCATATGTTGTATTTGCTAACGCAGCATCTTGTTGGAAGAAAAAAAGTGCAGCTTTTCCCTAGCCCAGATTATTTTCTCCACAAATCTTCAGAGCAGGAAATAAAAAACAGCTAATAGTTGTGGGGCATGTGGAATTAGTTTAAGCAAAGCCGAACCCTGATCCTTCTGACCGCCTCCTCTTTCCTGTGCTGTTTTGTCTATTCCTGCCTCGGAGTATGTCAACAAATTTTCTTTAAGCTCAGAAGGTGCAGGGGGGTGGAAATAGTGATTCTTTCTCTGTCTCTCTGTCTTTGGGGGTTTTCTGCATTTTTTTTAGGGGAATGATTTAAAACAGATGTATTTTCAAAAAAAAGGTACAAGTTTGTCTTGTAAAATATTTGTAAAGCAAAACAGCCTCAGGACCTCTGAACGTAATCCCAGTTGAGTTCTGGAGATGTCATGAAGGGTACTGGTTTTGTTACAGTGACATAATTCTTTTCTCACACAAGTTAATTATAAACCATGGTAACATTACTGAGAGGTCAGAGTCTGTTAAATAAAACTGAAGAGGCAAAGTGTATACATATTTGAAAAACGGAAAAATACCTGTGATTTCTGTATGGCTTATTGTTTGCTTCTGCTATACAAGAAAACAGATTGTTTTCATGTTTCTCCAGTACTGGAAGTATGTGTTTTACGTGAAGGAATAGAGCAGATATCTCTTTCCTGATGACAAGTGAAACATACTGGATATATGCTGCACCTCCTCAGCAGCTGTGTACCTGAGGACAATAATGCTTTCATTGCCAAGGCTTCAAGAATGTAATAAATATTAAGGAAATTACTTCACAAATGACTTGGCGTTGCTGTGCAGCACTGGATGTAGTTGGTATCAGTGGTTGCAGCTATGGTCATCCTCAAAGAAACAAAAATACTCTTTTTTGATACGAATAATTATTAATCTTAACTGAGACTTAACTGAGAACATAGCTCTTTCACATTGCCTGAGAAACTGGTGAGTTTGCTGTCTCTGAAGTGTTTGTTTTTTTAAATTACACTCGGTCACTGGAAGTAGTTTTGCCATCTCTGTCTGTCTGTCTCTCATGATTGTTTATTTTTAGACAGTCTGTGTTCTGTAGCTAAATACTTTCAACATCCTAACAGAAAACTTGACAACACAGTTGCAGAACCAGTGTCACTGAAGTAACTTCAGATGATTAAATGTTAAATGTTGTTTTCCTCATCCTATCTGGTTTATTAAAACAGCGAAAATGACAACAAAATAAGTGAACCAATATACTGTATGCTAATTAAGCATCACGAGAAGAAAAGAAAAATTAAATGCAACATATACTAATTTCTTGGGTGCTGGACTTGGGAGTCAGTTACAGAGTGTGGTTTGTGATGACAAAATGTGGAACAACTTCTTTTATCAAATATTTTGCTAATCCTGAAATATTTTTCTTTCAGCTTCTTATTTTGAGAAAACACTAATCACATTCAAACTAGATAAGGTAATATGGCATTGATCCATGTTGAAGATAAACTTCTGACTTATGTGTAGTCTGGGAAAAAAATGAAGAGAAATTGTCTTTTTTTTTTTTTTTTTCCATGCTTCATTTTAATCCCATCTAACACAGCATTTTTGTGAGAGTGTTGTTGGCTCTACGTGGCTTTGATGCTGCAGCCTGACTGGATTTAGAGATAGAAAGTTTTTTGGGGGAAAGAACCGTTTGTCAGAGCGGGAGGAGGCTCCCTTGAGGAACGGTCCATGGAGTGTGTTGATGTACCCAGGCAGCACCTTGTTGGGTTCTTCTAGGAGGCAAAGTCTACTCGAGTTGGCAGAAAGGACAACATCCACTGATGGCAAATCTGTCAAAGACCCCAAAAAACTCCTTATTGAGGGTGGTTCCTGCTTCTGAGGAACGAATGGCCACTGCGTTTGAAGAAACTCCCACATTTTTAGGGGCAGAAGGAATCTTGATGAATTTAACAAAAATGAAATTGTGGTTAGATGTTTACATTACCATAAATTGATGGCTTTGTGAATAAAATTCCAGTAGTGTATGGAAACCTGAGTAAGTAAGGAGGTCATTAAATTACTTCCTACAATGACACCTCCCCTGCATCTTTCATTTTGGCCACGGCTGGCATTCGGTGTGCTTCTGAAGCCATGGTCTGCACTAATCATATTGTAAAGGCAGAGTTACACCTCTCTTACATTTCATGCGTGGCGGCGCTCGAGTATTGGTAAGGAAAAACAAGAGAGAGTGCCTGCTCGTTGGCCAAGCAGAAAGGTAGATGATGATGGGGGGCACGGGTACGTCTGACAACTTAAACGCATACTGGAGCCGGAGGGGATCATCCCGGTAGGAGCTGAGGAGCTTCTGGTTTCTCACCCAGTGCCTCCCACTAGGAATGTTTGTCTTCCTGGTGCCCGCATCAGCTCAAGAACCAGCATTTCGACCGACGGCCCTTATTCCACCTTTTCACTCCTACCACTTGAAAGTGCGCGCAGCTTGCGAGGTTGGCACCTTCAACGTGTTTTTAAACCGGAGGCCTGGCTTATTGGAATGTGCATTTAGAAACTAATGCAGTGACAAACGAAATGGTGTGGTGCTCAGCATATACACTAAAACATACCTGTTGTCAATATGCACTGCTTTAAGGGCAAGAAGACAATTTATGATTGACAGGTCTTGCCGATTACTTTTGGATGAATCTGTAACGCGTGTACTTTTCAAACCTAACGGGTGGATAGATGGTCCTTTTCCTACAGTCAGAGATTCTCTTATTCAACTACTCCTATTCTTTTTTTTTTAGGACAGTGAAAAAAAAGGATTTATGAATAGACTTTATGCCATCCAGGAGGTGTGTGTCAGTGTCCAGAATATTCTTGATGAAGTGGCTTCCTTTGGAGAAAGGATCAAGAAGTAAGTTCCAACACAGGTGCTGGATTGCTCTTCAGTACTGTTCAAATGTTTTCGAAGCTGAGGTACGAGCGTTAGACCTTTTTTTTTTTTTTTTTTTTTTTTTTTCCACTTTGTGCAGGGGACTCCTGTTTTGGATGATTCATTGGTGAAACTCATCTACATTTACTTTTTATTTTATGAAGGGCCTTTGTGGAGGCCCTAAGTTAATGAAAATCCTGTCATATTAATTTTGGAATTTAGAAATATATTAGGTGGGGAAAAAAATCAGAACTAAGGCTTTGAAGTATGAGAATCTTTTTGTGAGGCCTAACAGTAGTTATTTAAAAGGAATAATAAAAAATGCAGCTTTGATAAAGGAAATAAGCAGAGCTGAATTTTAGGGATTTTAAGGATGTACATACGTTCATTTGCTGGAAGTGGTATATTTTTGTGAGTTAAAACCTTTCCTTCTAGAGTATTTGTAACGCCTAATACATGATATATAAGAATGGCGAACAAATTTAGGCCTGAAGCAGGAGAGGTTCTGAGATTTACTGCAGGAGGTTTGGTGTATTTTTGGGATGGTCGGTGAACAGTGGTGTGAGGTTTATTCTCTGGGATCAGACGGGTTCCAGAAAGACGTCTTCCCGCGGAGCAGGGGCGGGATGGGCTTGGCTTGGCACCCCTCGAGAGCATCTCGTCCTCGCCGGGTGGGAAGCGGGGAGGGGGGCGGGCAGGGGGGCGACCCCGGGGTTGGAAAACCTTCACGGGGGGCTTTGCGAGGAGGCAGGGCATCTTGCAGGAGCGTTCGAGCCGTCCGCTCCCTCGTTGCGGGCGTAACGGAGGACCGCACCGACGAGACCGAAGCCTGCGCAAGGGGTACGGCCCCAAAACAAATACTGACTTCTGGAAGCGAATTCTGGGGAGCTGATGCATCGGGTGGAGGTCAGCCTGCAGGAAACATGAGGATTGTCTCTCATGATGCTGTTCTACCCATTTTTTTTTTTTTTTTTTTTTTTTTTTTTTCCCAAATCTAGCATCAGTGGCAAGCGTATCAGAATCAGAATGAAGAGGAGGTTGCCGTTTATGCGTTTAAGAGCAGAGTCCCTAATAGGAAAGCCCGGGAAGCATTCCCGTGGGGACACTTCCAGGCAGGCCATGTTCACAGCAGGTGCAAGCACATTATATCGCACGGGTTTTCCAGAGAAGCAAAATGAGCCTCTCTCTGAAAGTAGTCTTTTATCGAAGGGCTGTTCGTGGAAGTCGCCTTGATGATTAAGTTTTTCTAATTGTGCATTTTGGAAGTAGGGTTTGTTCTATTATATACCAGATGAGAGCAACAGAATTTTCTAAACCGACTGAGACCGCATCTTCCTATAAATCTTTGTAATTTGTTCCTAAAACTATAATGGGAAACCTGTACTGAGTGCTGTGCTAACACAGCACATAAGGAGGTTTGCTGAAGTGAGGAGCCAGTGTTCCCACACATGGTGTGTCTGTGATCCATTGCACAAAGCCGAGTCACAGGAACATGAGCAGACCCTCAACCTTCTGTTCATCTCAAATCTATGCAGAAGAGGGGAAAAGAGCAGGTGTCCCCTGAGGAGAAAGAGAGTGATCCTACACCAACCGACACTAACATAATGTTCACTCTGGAGACATGTCAAAATTGCCAGGGAGAAAAGAAGACAAATAAACATAGGAAGCCAGAGCTCATTATGAAAAATATGGCTAGCAATTCAGATAATTGCAATTATTCAGCCAGAGAAGCCAAAATAATGTAATCACACTGATTGGGGATGTAGCTAGTCGTAATACTTTAAAGAGTGTCATCAGGCTATTGACAGCCAAAGCCACATTTTCCTTCTGGATAAATGTCATGCAACACCTTTGACGTGGTGGTGCCTTCATGGAACAATCCCGTTGAGCCAAGCTCCCTTTAGCCAGCGTTCCTGTGGGACATCTGTAGGGACTGGCCATCTGGCCTTTCTCTCTTCCCTGCACACAGAGGTTGCCGAGCCACAGCATGGCTGTTTCAAGACTCGTTAGCTTTCACTTCCTCTCTGCCCACACCTCAACCTCTGCAAAATGAGGTCACCAGCAGTTTTTTATCACAGCGTAGAGTTTGGGACTGTTAATGAGGACATTTTAATCTGAGGCTTTTTTTGGAAAGGCAATGTCCTGAAGTTCTGATGGGATCCCAGAGGTTCTCTTCCTGTACCCGTAAAGAAATAATCTTTATTTTATTTTATCTAGAAAACTGTTATATCCTACCTCCACACTGGTATTGAAGAAGGGATTGTGGGTTGCCTGTCCAGGTACCTCTGGGGAGCTAAACAGCACATGCATTTGTAGTTTCAGTTTGTTCTCACGGATGGAAACCGGCACTTCTCCCCCTGCCCTGCCCGTTATTTCTTCTGTTGGCTCTGTCGGGTGACCGCAGTTCTGACTTCTGTTAATTTTGCTTTTAGTACATTCAACTGGACTGTCCCGTTCCTGAGCTGGCTGGCGATTGTTGCCCTCTCCGTGTTCACCATCATCCTGTATTTCATTCCCCTGAGATACATTGTCCTTGTCTGGGGTAAGTGAAGCCGCCTTTAACTGTCTGTGCCACTTAGAAAAAAATGGTTTTTAAGGGATGACTTACATTGTCAGTACTTTCCTGTATTTATGGTCATGAAGCCGGCCCATGATGGAAACAGACAGGTTAGTTAAAAATCACAACTGCGTAAAGATTTAGGCCTACCTGCAAAATGCATTTTCTTGGCTGGCATTCTAGACTTCATCATACTATAAACATGTAGCCATGAGGATTCTTCATATATCAAAGTGTAGCTTTGTCTAGATATTACTCTGATTTATTTTCACCACTTATACACAAACAGAGGCATTTCAATCTATATAGTGCATTTAGCACAATATGCCTTTTTTACTGCAGTACTTTATCTTGTGAAAGCGTATGTAAACATAGCAACAAGAAACCTGTTTAAAGGGTCACCTTTAGTCGGACAGAAAGGTATTTGTGGTATTTGGCTGGTTGATAATGAACAGAAACAGGGGGGCGGACAGGGGGGGTGGAATTGTGATTGATCCAAGCTCTCACTGCTTGTCCTTATATTTATTTTTTATACTGATTTTAAACAGCTACCGTTACCACATCTGTTGTAAATAATGCTCCGAGTTTTCATCTGTACATTTTTTATACATCTGACGCCACCAGCAGCTGGAGCCTTATTCAGTAGTTCAGACTGCTGAGGAGCACTGTCCCATTTAAATCTATGGCTAGATTTTCTCTCTGAAGAAAAGAATAACAATCTTGCTTTTGTAAAAACTCCTGAACTCAAGAGACAACATAAAATTGGTGAACTGACTCCAAAGAATATATTTGTTATATCTCAGTCAGTATTAGTAATATTCTTACAGAATCTTCACAAATAATTGTAGCAGAATATGCAAAATGGAGAAGAAGCAGTAAGGAGGATTTGAACAAAAGTATTTCTGTGGAACCAGAAGAAGCAAGTGTGTGGGCTTACCGTCCTTTCCAGTCTTGGAATTTTACTTACTCCCTACTTTGTGTGCAATCCAGACTCTTAGTTTGTTCCTAAAATTTCGTTCTTCCTAGCGCGCACAGACGATGGTAGGCTGCTTGTTACTGGAGTTTGAAGTACTCGGTCTGTGTCCTTTTTCTGTCATTTTTCGGACAGATCTGGCATCTTGTACGCTTGCTTTCATACATCCCCTTGATTTCATACAAGAACCTGAGATTGTAATATCCCTCCGAGACCCACAAAATTGTAATACCCCTTGACAAGCCCCTGACACATACCCCTGCGATACCCCGGGGGGGGGTCACACTCCCCCAGAAACTCCTGCTCGGGTGAGGCAGAGCCCCCACTCCCAAACTGGAGTCCGTGCCTCCCAGACCAGGGGTGGACAGCACACGCACCAAGCATTGGCAATGCACCCGGCCCCCTTTCCCTCCTGATCTTCCCTCCCTGCCCACAAATTATCTGGTCAATCTAGACGCGGCTTCAGGCGCCTTCGTTCACGAGAGGTTTCAGCTCCACGTTTTTTCTCCTGCGTTTCAGTTCAGGTGGGTTCTTACCCAGCGAGTGCACGGGGCTCCCCTCTCCGGGTTCCCCTGCGCCGGGACACGGGACGGGTACCGCATAGCTGCAGCTCCAGCAGCCCCGACCTCCTCGGGGTGAAATGCCCTCGCACGGTGCCGCGTTGCGCTGCGTGGGGCTTTGAGCGGCCATCCCTTCAAAAAAGGCAGTGCTGCAAACACCTGCCTGTTTTCCCCATTATTGCGTGTTGCCAGCCTCCTCCCGCCGATACACATTTCTTCATCCCCCTTCGTCCATCCTTCTCTTGGAAGCCAGTGACCTCTGTTGTCTGGCTGTTGTCCGTAGGAAAGTTTGAGCTGGTCTGTAGCAGCATCTGCCCATTTCATTTTTGGAGAAGACAGGGGGTTTTTATCTGAAAATTCCTTCATTTAATGGCTGGTCTTTTGTATAGCTGTCTTTCTTCTACGCATCCATAGGAACTGCCTCTTTCAGACCACCCTGGCAAGAAATTCTCTATTCTTTCCCTCCAGGCCGTGTTCCTCCCCACAGAGACTACTGGTTTTTGAACATGGGGTGTGCTAACCATGGTGGAGCAGGAACCACCTCTGCACTCTGATCCCATTCTCTAAAGTGCAGAGTCCTGGTAACAGCTACAACTGTTTATGTGGAAAAGAGTATAAAGAAAATTATTTTAATCAGAAAATTTCCAAGCTTTTGGAAAAGACCTAATCCTCTTGTTATATTTTACTTCTCCTGGAGTGTCCCATCTCATCTGTTCAGTGCTTTTCTTGAGCCTTGACCATGATTTATTCATGCATTTACTTTCACGGGGTGACTGGTACTTTTCTTTATCAGATGTGACAAGGTGAGACCATATCAACTCCTGAATTCACCCGTGGGTGGTCCAGTGGCAGCGTGCAAAGAACAGTGGAGCAGACCTTGAATTTCTCAGTCACTTGCTGATGCAAGGGATCTTCTTAAGCACGGGCGTTTGAATCTCAGATACCCTTTCTCAACACTCACAGTTCAGTCACCAGATAAAGGGGAGGCAGCATCTCCTATCTGCACCGCAGAACTGAGAATTCATGCAGTGGGAGGCCGTGGGTGTTACTGACACCGCGGCTTGCACGCTCCATCCCGAAGCTTTATGTCCTTGCTAAAGCTTCCTGAAAGGCCTGGGCACCAAAGACTTCGTGGAAGATAAACTGTATTATCTTATCTCTGATACAGCCTGGATAAATTACACGGAGCAGCACATTTTTAATGCTGTCCCAGCTTTCTCCTGCTCACATGAGGGTCTGTGCAGTTTGTACTGTTCCTGCCCGTGTTTTAGAGGTGTGTTCCCAGAGGCCACAAACAAGGTTCTCACGTGAAAAGTGCATGAATTGGACCTGGTATGTAATAATAAAATGAGTCTTAATTTAAAAGCCTGCTTTCTGCTTAGTTTGGGGAGGGTTTTCTTGGTTCTTCTGAACACTAATTGTCAACGGGCATTGTCTAAGGGAGACATCGCATCCCTTCTCTGCACTGCCATCAGCTCCTCTGTATCTGTCACTCCCAGGCAGAGGTTTGTCTAAACTCATCCTAAAGCCTTCACGTGATGCAGCCTTTCACTGCCCCCCCTGTGCTTCACCATCCTCTGCATCAGAAAGATTTTCCATGCCTCTAGCCTGAATCTTCTGTCCTGTGATTAAGGCCAGTACTGCTCATCCTCTCTGCAACAGAAATGGAGTACACTTAATTCCTCTCCTTTTTGCAACCTCCACATAGTAACCACAGCTTCTGATACTTAAAAAAAAAAAAAAAAAAAAAGTATTGGAGGAGTTTGAAAATGCCCCTAGAACTTTGGCATTTTGAAGCAGAGGGAACCGCAGCAGCACATTCTGACTTTTAGACCCTGAGTTTACAGTTCATTCGTTCATTAATTCAGTGTTGATATCAGACTTTGAAATGGATCTTAAAATCTTTTTTAGAACTTTTCAGAAAAACATACACTTTTTTTTTTTTTTTTAAATGATGATAGTAACATTTGAAGTTTGACTTTTGCAGGCATCAATAAATTTACAAAGAAGCTTCGAAGTCCATATGCAATTGATAACAATGAGCTACTCGACTTTCTGTCCAGAGTTCCTTCAGATGTGCAAGTGGTATGTGTATTTTCTGAAGTGTCCTTACGGTAGTTAATTTGATCCATGGCATCATGACTTTCTGCTGTTTTTTAAACAGATTTTAAAGCAGTTATTTTGATTCAATATTATATTCTTTGGCACAAAGAAGCTGCAAACTCAAGCTGGGGACAGTCTGTGAACCTTAAGGGGGCTGCTAGACCTTTTTCCAGTGAGGAAGTAGTTACTACCCTGCTCGTGCCTTAGGAGCAGTCAGTAAAACCACAAATATTTAGGAGATGGTAGCGGGTGCTGGAGTTGGCACTGAGCAGCCTCCAGCACCACCTGAATGTGACCGGGATGAGGCACTGTGCGTCAAAAACTGGAGCTGGGGCTGTCGGGACACGCCGAGAGGGAGTGGGGAGGTCGGAGGATGGAAGGAGCAGCACCAACACGGATTTGGGGCTTTGCCCAGTGCCTCGTGGCAGCTCTCTGAGCACTGCAGCCTTGCTGGTCCCGGGGCGAAAGTTTCTGCTGCGGCCGCAGTTCAACCGTGCTCATAAACCCTTTTAAAAATAAGCTGGTTATGAATTACAAGATTTTGTAATGCAGTGCACAATCTCTAGAGAAGGTGCAAGCGTTAAGATAATGTCAGGCGCATAAATCACCTCCAGTATCACAAAGATCATATATTTTCCATATTTCTAGGTAACAGTTTCAGTTCAGAGCTGGAATAAAAAGGAGATATGGGTGGCACGTACTCACTCTGAATCTGATCCCCTCTGTGGTAGGCCTTTGAAAATAAGCAAGAATTTAAGAAACATTACAAAGACTATTCATCCAATTCATTAAATAGGATACTGTTTATTGTCTGTTAGAGCTCATGGAGAAAACAAAAAAAATAGCCTTCTTAAAGTTTACGTCAGCACACAGTGATACTTCCTGGCAGGATTTTCCTAGTGCTGTTTTTCCTTCTTACTCTAGACCTGTCCTTCTGCTGATGTTGAATCACAGCTGCAGATGCCGTGTAGCTTGCAGGGGGATAGTTTTCTTATTCTTTCTTTTTTTTTTTTTGCCTTGGAAAAAAAAAGAAAAAAAAAATAGAAATATTTCTTTTTCTAGCAAGCACCACCTGACTGGTTTCTTTCTGAACATTGTGTTTAAACAGGTGCAATACCATGAACTGAAACAAGATCCCAGTCACAGCCCGAGCAAGAGGAAGAAAAACAATCCTGGCTAGCCAACTTCACGTGTTGAGGAGCGTAGCATCTGCTGGGGGAAGATAAAAGAAAAAGCCTACGGCCTAAGCAACATTTCCTTTCTCTGAGCTTTTTATTTATTTTGCCTTTTTATCTAATGCGGAGATTTTGTAAATATTGTAAAAAGGCATTTCTCATTGAAGATATATTTCACACTGTAAAGACACATTTGACGAAGGTTTCGAGTAGGGTTTTTGCCGTTTGGAAGCCTTGTTAGAAACAGCATAGCGCATTAGAAGAATCGATCCAAAATGGTAAATATGTACTGCTACTTGATGGTCACAGTTACCTGAAATACTCAAATCATGCCGACTAAATCTACAAAAGGTGTAAATTTAAATCTGACACAAAAATTCCGTCAGATTTTATCTGTGAGCATTAATATTTTTATCCAGTAAGTCACCATTACAATTTTCTATGTTTTATACATTTCAAGAGAAATACGATGTAGTAGAGCCTACTGCACTTAAGTTTTAGTAGATTTTTTTGAACTCCAGACCCTGATGTTAACTCCTGGTGCAATGTTTTCCTGTGCAGTGGGGCTGCTTATAAGATAATGAGAAACACCAAGTGCAAATCTTTTCCTGGAGCTCCCAAAAGAAGTTCCTGCCGTTTTTATCATTCCATTATAAGACCTAAAAATCTCTGTCTCTCTCAAAATACTGCCAGGTTTGTAACTGATTGCCTATCTGATTTTTCTATATGTACCAGTAATCTTCATTTGTACTACATAGTTTAGTGAATGAAGTTCATAGTTCTGCTGTGATGGAAATACTATCAGACGAACTCCATATTGCTTTGGGTGTCATGCTATGAACACCTTTTGTGCACATAACTATTTTAACATGGAAATCTTGCAGGAAGTGTTTTTGCTTTCAAATCACAAGGTCGTATTAATACGCTTTATGATATTACACATTACCTGTTACCAATGTGAAATATAGTGTAGAGGAAAAAATGCAGTTGTGGTAAAACTGATTGATATACCGGTTTTATTTCCTTAGTTAATAATGTAGTCAGTTCTTCTGATACAATTGTGCCCTACTGCATGGAAACTGCGTTATTTTATAAATTACATGGAACATAGACGGAGAAACGTTTACATTTCAAATGTCTTAGTGGCCACTGCATAACGAGTACTTGGGGATATATTCTGACAGCTGCATGTAGACTTCCACGCTCAGCTCCCCGCGTAGTGAGCAGAGATTTCATTCCTAAGGGAGTACCCGTGCACAGCTCTTGGTCGTAGCTCCCGGTGATGTTAAAGGGGATTTTTGCCCAGGGGAGAACAGCAGGACTGCATCCTCGAGGGGAGGTGTTCCTGTGGTCCCCTCTGGGTTACCTCTCATTGGTTGCAATTGATGATAAAGTTATATTGCACTACTCTAACAATACTTTTTGAAAATACTATTTAGAAATACTTTGCAAGCAGATGTATATATATTTGTCTAAAGAATTCTATGTTAGCAGCATTGCTCATGAAGGATCATCGTGGGTTTGTTTATTTTACAGACATGTTGGTAGCTGGTTTCTGATGTGACGGTTATTTTGATCTTTCTGTTTGTATGTTTGAAAGAATGCCAATCAAATATGACTGTTCTGCAGAAAGTCTTGGACCTAAATATGCCCCTGTTACATCATGACTTTAAAAGAACTTACTTGCAAAGCTTGTGTAACCACCTTTCCACTGTATGCCACCTGAAGAGCAGCAACGTACTGTTGGTGAAGTCAGAATCACTGATGAGCCTATTTTGTTTAAAAAAAGCCAAATTTCCGACTTGACAATGTGCAAATGTTTGTTGCCAGTTGTCAGTTTTGCAGAGTTCTTTGACACACTGCAAGCCTTGTGCCCTCCTAATGTTGCCCATCGGTCTGCGTGCGATTTCCTGTTGTGTTCTTTTTCTGTACTCAATTTCAAATGTCTACTTTGGTGGTAATGTCTGACTTAGTTATACACATTTACAGCATTAAACACAGTTTTAAGCATCTCTCTACTAGGTTTTAGGAAGCCTCTTTCTTTGAAGTCCTGTGCGGTCATTTTCCCATGAGTGATGTGAAGGGCAAGCAAAAGACAACATCGTATTTCTGTGTGCGGGATTTTGGTATTTTAAGACCCAAAACATGTAAGTGGAGGGGTCAGGTGGAGGAAAACATCTGCTTGTTTAAAACTGGTGAACTACTTTTAATGCCTCAGTCACTCAAAATTGATCTCACTGAAAACAAAACGCACAGAGGCAAGGATAAGAATGCATGTTGATTAAATATGATTCTCCTGCCACAATAGGACATTTTAAAATAATTTGTCATTGAACCCATTTTCTCTGTTTTCAGTTTGTCTATTCTGCTTTGTGTGGGAGACCTCTGTAGAGAATCTGTCCTGCCTTATGTTGGAAATATTTCAATGTCTCTTCCAATTCCAGATTAGCTCTGAAGTAAATTTCTAAACTGGTTCGCCCTGTTTTATCCCTAAGCAACTTGCCCGTTCATAAACAACCATGAAAGGATAACGCATCTCATGATCATGAAATTCTTTCTGCTCTCAGAAAATAAAATTTAACAACTTTATTTGTGTCCAGTGAAAATGAGTAGCTGACTTAATTGGGGTCCACACTTCAAGCAGGTGTCAGAGCACTCAGGATCCATCAAGACTAATTGTCTGAGAGGTTCTAGTTGCATTTCTGCTGATCACTCAGAGTACAGAGGTTGCTTGCCCTGTGTTTACAGTTGTTTATCTTTGTAGCAAGCAACAACTATGTTTTTTTCATAATAGCAATGAGCTTTAACTTGAAGAGCTACTGTACTGCAACTTGGCATTTTAAATTCAAGTGGAATAAAGCCCAGGTTTTTACTATTGTAATCAAAACAACAGTGGAATAGTGAGGAAGTAATCGAGCAGGCTGCATAGCATGTATCTGCTAATGTGGGCCTTGAGAAGCATTGGCTCTACCAAGAAGAGGAAGAGCTGCTTGACCTGCCAGCAAATGTTCTACGTGATGCTGAAGTATTTCAGTCTAGGAGAGCCCAGGAGCACAAAGCAAAGGAGAGGAAGGAGAAATTATTTCTCTCATCAGCGCAAGATCACACACACCCACCACACAGAACCTAATAAAACCTTTGCAGCTGTCTGCCCAGCACCCGGGGATCCCTGCCTTGCAGGAGAAGGGCAGCTTCCACCCATGTCTCCTTTCCTTGCTCGGCTGCAGGAGCCTTGCTGACAGCCAGACACAAAATTCTTTATGTTTCTGAGACTCTTCTGAGGGCAAATTTTCCCTCCCAGCTGGGCTAATTTCCAGACTGCTGTGCAGATGCTTTGTTAAAGACAGCTCATCTCCCCACCCCCCTCACACCCCAAAACCAGTATTGCAAATTTTCAATAAATACCTCCTCCAGATTTTTTCTGAAATTTTGCAAAAGTGAAAACCCAGAACTTTTTACATCAAACACAGTTGCAATTATAGCTATTTTTTCAGTGCGGAACACCGTATTTCCATTGCTTTCTGCTTAATTAAGGTATAGCATAAAAGGAGTGTAGCTTCTGACTCTCAAAGGGGAAATTCAGCTACTCCCAGGTAAAATGCAAACTTTAGACATCAACCTAGAAAAATGTGAAGGATCTAACAAACCATACTGTTCTCTACTCTCTCACAGCATTGAGTGAGATGCAGCTGGTTCAAAGGGTCATGAAATCGGTGATCAGTTAGGGTGAGGAGCAGCCTGGAGAAGCGTATTTAGACTCAGAGACATTCAAAAGGGCTCGCCTTGAGGCAGTGCTGTCCCTCTGCTCTTGGTAGAGAAAGAAAAGGTCCTTTATACCAGAAGACTAATGTAGCTTTAGCTCTCCGTATTTGTCCACATCGCAAATATGGCAAGCTGCTTCAATTGGCTGGATTTGGCCTTTGCTGTGAATGCTACAGCACTTCCCTTAAGAGCGACCTCCCTCTTGGGAAAGGGACGAAACTTCATGTAGCACAGCAGCTGCCAGCCATGGAATCACAGACTCACAGACTGGTTTGGGTTGGCAGGGCCCTCAAAGCCCCCCCAGTGCCCCCCCTGCCCCGGGCAGGGCCCCCTTCCCCCAGCCCAGGGGGCTCCCAGCCCCGTCCAACCTGGCCTTGAACCCTTCCAGGGAGGGGGCACCCACAGCTGCTCTGGGTACCCTGGGCCAGCGCCTCCCCCCCCAAACAGGGAACAATTTCTGCCTTACATCTCACCTAAATCTGCCCTCTGCCAGTTTAAAACTGTTAGCCCTTATCCTATTCCATCACCCCCTGACCCAGAGTCCCCCCCCACTCTCCTGTCCCCGCTTTAAGCCCTGGGAGGCCACTCTCAGGGTCCCCCCGGAGCCTTCTCTTCTCCAGGCTGAACCCCCCCAACTCTCTCAGCCCGGCCTCCCAGGGGAGCTGCTCCAGCCCCCCCAGCATCTTCGTGGCCTCCTCTGGCCCCGCTGAACCCCATGAGGTTTGCCCGGTCCCCCCTCTCCAGCCTGCCCAGGTCCCTCTGGATGCCACCCCTGCCCTCAGCGTGCCCCCCACCACACAGCTCGGGGTCATCAAAACACCACAGAAGAAGAGACAAAAGGTAGGTCAGGTCATCAGATCAGGAGTGTCCTGGTTTGAGCGCAAAGGGCAACTGAGCACCACTCAGCCATTCACTCACCCTTTCCCCCTATCAGTAATGGGAAGGAGAAAATGAAGCAGAAGTGGCTCAGGAATCCAGCTACAGACAGGGAGGGGTGCTCACCCATTATGGTCATGGGCAAAAGACAGACCTGTTAGGGGAAGAAAATAAAACATCACTTTAATTCAAACACTAACAAAAGACAACACTGATCAGACAAGGTGGGACAATAAGAAGTGCCACCACATCCCCAAAAACACTCCCCCCACCCCTCCCTTCTCCCAGGCTCAGCTCTGCTCCCAGTATCTCTACCTCCTCCTCCCCATCAGTGCAGGGGGCAGGGGACGAGGGGGTGCAGTCAGTTCTCCATAGGGGTAGGACTCCTCACATCCCTCCCCTGCTCCCCGGGGCTCCCCTCTCACTGCAGACAGTCCTCCACAAACCTTCTCCGCAGTGAGTCCTCCCCACAGGCACAACCTTCCAGAGCTGCTCCAGCATGGGACACCCCTCCTTGTTACAGTCCTCCCAGTGCTGAACCACGACAGTGGGGGCTGCTTCTCCCCTCAGAGTCCCGGCCTCCTTTAAGCGCAGGTACCTCTGCTCCACTGGTGACCTCCACAGGTGGCTCCTCGCTCCTCCTCCCAGGTTCCCCTTCTTAAATCCGTTATCACAGGGGTGCAGCCACCATCACTAATTTGCTCGGCCTCAGTGCAGAGCTGGGTCTGATTTGGAGCCAGGGGAGCTTTGAGAAGCCTCTCACAGGGGCCACCGCTGTAACCCCCCTCCCCTGCTACCCAAAACCCCACCACTCACTCACACCCAACTCAAGGAGGTTGGATACTTGTTGCTGCAAGAGGCATTAGAAGTTTTCTCCTTTTGTGTCATAGTAATCAATCAAGAGAAGGGTTGTTTCTCATAGACCAAGGATTTTAGATCTTAATTAAAAAAAAATAAAAATCTGCAAACTATCATTGTTCAAAAAAAAATTAGATAAATCTTAAACTATCCATTGCACAGGACACTGTCCTTCTGGATGATTTCTTTTTTCTCTGTAAGAGTTTAATGCTCAGATGAAGTCAGATTTAGCCATTCTTCAAACAGGACGAATTCCCTAGCAATGAATGATGGGAGTGTCCAACTTAAATTTCTGGAAGTTTCAAATTGAGTTCTTTTACCAAAGGGGCCAAAAAGAGTATAGCCATGTTGGTTTCTCCTTATCAGACTTAATACTGAATAAAATTTAAATGCCAAAAATTTTTTATGGTTCACATTGTACAATATAGATGCCTGAAACCCTTAGTTATGCATCATATGGTAATAAATATTTCCCCATTTTATTATAATCAAAATAAATTCAAAACTACTTTTCTGGATCAATTTTTACTTAAATTACAGAGGGTGATTAAAGGAAGCCTGAAATGTTGATCGTTGATATATGTTTTGATTAAGGAGTAGAGATTAGTATTTTCTGGAATAATTTACTGTCAGTATAGCCTGACCTGCTTTATCCTGACATGAAGACACATTCCTAAAAGTTTAGATTTGCATAGTTGCACATGCTCTGCTTTTAGGCATGTCACAAAAAAACAAAACAAAACAAAACAAAACAAAACAAAATAAAACAAGACCCTTTTAGATCTGCAAGTGATGAAGAAAATTCCCCAGTCAAAAGTAGTAAAGTCAAACATATTGAACAACTGTGCAAAAACATGGTCAACTTTGTAGGGAGTGTTAAGCAACGGGCAGCTGCTCAGAAAAGAACAAGAGCTGCAACTCAGGATCTTCCCAACGTTACCTGGTGCACGACATTGCAACTGCCGCAAGTACCAGAAATTTTAAAAGAAAATATCAAATAAATATCTTGTCGTATCATACCATTCCTAGATGTTACTGGAAGAAAGAAGGAAAGGGGTTTAACTAACTGGTATCGTTGGTGGCTTGGTGCAGCTGGAAGGCTTCCCAGCAGAAGCTCCCCAGTTGACACTGACCCAATTTAATCTGCACCGCCGCTCCCTTGGGCTGCTCTGAGCCTCTGCCACCACCCCACCAAAAGGTAGCTAAAAAAAAGGATTGTCTTTCCTCTGAACTGGGTGCTGGGAAATCTCCTTCCCAGTGGTGTTTTTTAACTGCATTATAGGACTGGCCTCGCTAATTCACAGTGCGGCGCTCTGGCCGTTTCTCTCACTTGCAAAAATTTACATCTCAGAAACCAGCCTGCTCGGTGCACATCTATCCTTGAATTCCGACACAAAGGAAGATTTTTTTTTGCTGCCTCCTGAACAAATATGGTAACAAAAGCAAAAAATATTTTCCTTCCCCGCAGGGTTGCTAGCCCTGGGACACGTAACAAGCTCGACAAGCAGTCATACTCGTATCGGGAGGAGCTGTTGCTCACGGGCACGAGATAATGGTTTGATCAGAAGAAATGGGCCTGGAGACTAAAGCGGTTCCTTCCCTCAGCTACATTTCTATTCCTCAGGCTGAGACTCCCTGAACACATCTATTGGGGAAGGAGGAGGAGAAATGGAGAAGGGCCAGGGTTGTTTAAATAAAAGATTTACTCATAAATTGGATAACTATTAAATATAACTTTAATTCTTTAAGGAATAGTTTTTTAAAGACTGGGATTTATTTAAAGGATGAAAGTCTTCCTGCACTATGTTGCCAGAAGTAAATGTCTTAAAAGAAAGTTCAGTCACTGCAGTTCGCTGAGGCAGTGCACAGTTTTGGGGAGACTGGGTGGCACCCTGGGGAAGAGCTGGGGAAGAATTACAGTGCATTATGACGCTGGAACCAGCTGGTTTGCATTTTCCCTTCACACTACAGACACACCCTTTCTCCGGGCGTCCTTATGGAGATCCACAGCTCAAATCCACATTCACATCCA